TATTATTAAAATACGCTACGAAAGCTTCAATTTTACTTAGTGCACTTGTTCATCTTTCATAGCAAAGATAGGTTACGCGAGTTCCTCGAAATAGTATTGTAAAAGTATAAAAAATTTTTTTATCAAATGTGTAACAATCTTCAAAATTGATGGGACGGTCGCTCCTGTTGCAACAGTACTAGTGATAGCTGATGCGCGGGATAGATATTACCTTGTGGGTTTCTTAAAAATTATATTAACGCGGGCCGGCTGGCCTGAATTGGAGATAATATTAAAAATCCCGCACGGGATCCAAAAAATCCCGCGCATACCCATCACTAAACTGTACCCTTTCTTAAGCTGCTTTACTAAACATATTATTTTTCATGATTTCCTCAGGTCTCTGATATTTGCTCTTTGTGCGTCAAATCTAAATCGGGTACCATCTTTTGATTTTTTTTAAAGTTGGAGTTTGAATTACAGGTACGTACTCCTATTCCATAGATCTGTAGGGTTGGAAAAATTATGCTTTGTAATACTTACAATAATATTCGTGTATAATAAATTATTTTGAGATTCCTAATTCTAGACCGAATTAGGAGCCAACAATGACAACAGATTGTGGATATGTAACAGTATCGGTATAATACACAAATATTTACTTTAAATTTAATTACTAACTTCAAGAGATCAATGAAAACTGGCGAATTTATTTATACCTCCCGTTAAAGACTTTAATTATGTCAAAAAAAAAAAAAAAGACGACTTTATCCTTTTTGAGATTCTTCAATTTTGTGCTTGTATACGAATGTAGTTAAAACAATTCGCAACGTATAATTGCTCGTTCAATTCTAATTTCTGTAACAGATCATACTTGAACATTTACTAAACTTATTTGGGTTTATATTAATAGCTAAGTAAATTCAGAATTGCAAAAAGGAGAAAATTTTTATTATATTAGTTTAGGATTTTTTGTAATATTACATTTCTAGTTGTTATAGTTATAATATTCTCAATAAAATAAAAAATAAGATTACTCAAGTTAAAAAAAAAAAGTAATAAAAAGTATATTAAAGAAAATAACAGAAAGAACAAAAAATAGCTAAATATAAACAGTAATATAATGAGTTGTAATATCTTTTTTCTAAGTAATCTTTAGTCTCTAAAATTCGTTAACTAAAAACAAAAAAGTTAAAGATTACTACAGCAAATTGCATATAGATATCAAAATAGTAACTGGATGAGTTAGTACTTAGAAATTAGTCACTATTTATTTTTAATAATATATAGTAATGTTTTAGCTATAAGCCAAAATTTGATTAAATAAAATACTAGCATAATTGCTGAATTAAAAAAAAATATATATATAAGAATTTTGTATATTAAATTTTTGTAATAATATTTTTTTTACAAAAACTCACCCGGTTATTAAAACATATAAAAAATTTCAAACTTTGACCCAGCTAGGTTATGAAAACAATTTTATGTGGCCTAAAGTCGAATAATCACAGTACACAAGTTTTCAAATCCAGCATTATTAAATTTTGGCTAGTAAGTTACTATTCATAATTCTGGCCGCAAGATTGTGTAATGTTACATTACAGAAATTTTTGTTAAATTATCGATTTACAAAAATTTTCCGTGTTCCTGGTTATAATTGACTTGCGGCGCTTGCGCCAAAATACTTTCTACGGCATACTTTACTAGTATATATCGATATCGATATTACGTATTAAAAATATAATAATCGTAATGATTACTACATTCGTTCGTAATTACCTAAATTTTGGCTGAAAGATTGTATACCGTTACACATAAGCAAAATCAAAAATTCACGCCTAACGCTAACGTTCAGATACGTATTTAAAGTAGTTTATATTCCATATTTTGTATTTCCATATCTTTTTGAAACGTAGTCTCCCATAAAGAGGAATGCAATGGCAGCACTTGCAGGAGCATGGTTAGCTTATGCTATAATTATAGCTGTAGGTAGTGAATAAGGAATACACTTTGGAGCTTTTCGTTCTCATTTATATTGAATTCCACCAATAAATTATTTTCTTTCTATTTTTATTATATTAATTAAGGTTTTATTCGTATTCAGCTTTCTGTTCACCAAATATTATCAAGACATTCATGAAAGTGAACGTTTAGCTACAATTGTTACGATTTGTTCTTTAGCTCTGTGTTTGAGTGCAATAGCGTTATTTCCTGTAGATATATTTTTAGTATCCTCAACGGTTGATTTAAATACAGGGCTAAAGCATAGTTGGGCTACTCAAGATCAGGTTCAAAGCATTTTAAATCAAATAAATGGTGTTTATTATGGTATGATTAATAAATAAATTGCTTAGAAATTTGAATTTGAAAGGCTAAGCGATCATGGAAATGAATTAATCGCTGAATTATAATATCAATATAATAGGAATGTATGGCTTGATTGCTATATTCTGTTCATTAGTAATTCCATTTGCATATTTCTATTTCGAAGAATATGATGAGGGTGAAACAAATCGACAGGTGGGCTTCAACTATGTGTTTAAATTCAACATATCGAAGAAAGTTTGATCTGATATATTTTATATATAGCGCATTGCAGGTGCCTTAAAGTATACGGGATTTTTTCTGGCGTTCATGTTGATTTGTTTCGTATTTGGAATTATCTTACAACCCAAAGAAAAAAAAATACCCCTTGACTTGGATTTTTTCAAAAAATTCTTGTCGGAAAGTTGTAAGTTATTATTCATATATTTTATTATTGTTGTGATTTATTAATATCAAGTTAATAAATATTTGTGTATTATCCTAAAGTGGGCGAGAGTAGTATTTCTTTCATTATAGCTATTCTTATGATAATTGGAATGATCGTTTTTGTCGTGTACACTGTAAGTCCACGATTTTCATATTTTTAAACAGTATTAGGTGTATTGATTTTTCGTACATATCTTCGAAAGGCTCCCGGACTTTCGTTACTCCCGATTAGAATGATTAAAGGGGCAAATCAAACTGGTCCATCAATTTCTGATATTGAAGGTTCTTTAAGACTGAATCGTGAAAAGCAAAGAGTTATAACGTCGAAATATCAGGATTCCAATAATCCAATGGCTAGAAAAGATGAACAAAGATTGAAAAACTTACTCACTGAAGAAAAGTAAGTCTAAAATATGAATCTCTTGGGTTATTCTTTTATCTAATTAGGCAATAATATTTCATGTGTTTTCTAGAATATTGGCTCGACGATTGCAAGTCTATGAGGCAAATAGTAGAGGATTATTGAACAAAATTCTTGTTATTTTTAGGCCATTTGAAGTACGTCGTTTACGTTTAAGTAATATATATACCCAATCATCGCGTGATTGACAAGAGCATCTCTAAATGCCTAAAACTTTTTTTCATAAAGACGAAATTTCAAAAAATGACCGGTAACTTTGTCATTATAATAATTACAAAATTACCGGTCAGATTTTCAAGTTTTGCCTTTACAATGAGTCGAAAGGCTTTAAAGTTAGTATGATGCTGAAATATATTTTCAAATCGTCAAGACTTTATATTTGAGAACTCATCTGTAGCTTTATAGAGATGTATAAAGTTACCAGTTATTTTTTAAAAGCTCTATAAAAGTTTGTGATTTGAAAATTTAATCAATCATGTGATTGTGTAGTTTAAATGGTTTCTTTGAATTTACAATTTATTTTATTTTCATGTCTTACCAATTTATAGTTTTTAGGCGGCATTTTGTTGTTGTTTTTGACTATGATAATTTTCCTTTCGATGTTTTTGACTTGGTAAGCAATGATGTATATCGCTCGTGCTTATTACTCTAAGCCCGCTAAATCCTAAACATGATTCATCATTTTTAATTCAGTATTGACAAAATCAAGAATTCAATCTGTGGAAGTAGTTGTGGATATATAATTAGTCATCCTGACATATTTAATCCACTTAATTTTATTTTCCTTAACGCTTCACATGTAAGTCATATTTATAAACTACACCTTTTATGTATATGCACTGTTTTTTTTTTTTTTTTTTTAATAATACCTTTTACTTTTTAATTTTTTTAGTATTTTCCCCTTGATTACTTTTTTATGATTGTGCTTATCCTTTACTTCTTCCTGGGCACTGTAGTTGGTGTTGTATTTATAGGAATTCGATTCTTGTGGATTTCACTTTTTAAAATCCGGAAAAACGCCACACCGCCCCAGGGGCTTCTTTTGGGCTCCTTAATGTTAATGCTAAGTTTATTGGCGTTAAACTATACCATAACAATGGTTGTTTCTCCACAATATGCGCAATTTGGAAGCCAAAAATACGTAAGCAAAAGAATCATTCTGTAATCCTATGACATCAAACTTATTGGGGGTTTTTTTTTCTTTTTTATATATTTAGTGTAATCATACTACTATCGATAAAGTTCGAAATTGTTCGGATTATCCAATGTTGATTATTCCTTGTGATGTTAAAGCACCAACAGGCAATTTTGATTTTTTATTTCCATGTTTATAACATATGCAAAAAATAACATTCAAAATTTTAACATTGCTTTCATTCTTTTGATATATCAGATATTTGCACCCCTACAGCGATATCAACATTCATTCAACGCATAACTTTCAATACCCCATTCTTTGGTGTGGTATTTTATTATGCACAATGGGCCTTTTTAATGGTACTAGCTATTGGTTTTGTTTATTCAATCATTAGACCACAAAGTTATATATCTCTTGATGACTTTGAAGATGAATTGCAAGAGGATAATGAAGAATTATTGCATCCTCATCCTGTTTCTAGTTGAGATTGTGCCTGTGCATTATTTGCAATATTAGTTTAATGTTTGACTAGTATACATTATATTTATTTGATGATGTAACTTATCATATATAACAAAATATTATAAATAAACATATTTCATATTTACGTGTTTACCTTAATGCTGCTGTAGCATGTGAAATTTTATTGCGTTAATTGCGTTTAATTTTTTTTAAGGACTGTATAGTATAGACTACCGGATTAGTATGGTACAGGCCAATTTATACTGATACTGATTAAGCGTTAAATATTATAGTTAGAATTAGGAATTTTATCAGATTAGTATGTAGTTTTAAAACCAAACTAATCACTTAAGCTTTCAACATTAAGAATAAGATTGGATAATCAGATTATCTATGTATATTTAAATAATATACAAAAAAAATATTTGTATAAGACGTTTTAATGAAGCTAATATATATGCAACAATTGGAATAGATCTAGTTCAAATAATTTAAATAGAATATAGGTTCAAATAATATTATATGATATTGTATTTAATCAAATTATAGTTTTAATAGAAAACTTTGTTATTTAGTATATCTTGTATTTGGTATATCTTTCTGTATTTTAAAATTTTATTAAAATAACCTCTATTGTATAACTAATAAAAAATATTTATAATCTAATCCTAATTCTAACTTTAACTTTATATTAAATAATAGTTTATTTGAATTATTTAATTATATTGCAAAATTTTACTAAAGTAACTTCTATTATATAATTAATAAAAATGTTTCTCATATAATTTTACTATAAAGCTACTATTATAAAATAGGTTTTAGCATATTTCTTGATTATTGTATTTTTATATTATTATATATATTTAGATTTATTTATTATTATTTTTCTTAATAACTTATTAGCTAAAAATAGATTTAGATTTTATCATTAGATTCAGTTTGATTAGATCTTTTAAATGAGCTATATTTTATATTTATAAGATATGTAGTTATTGAGTTATCTTAGAAGTAACATTAGAATAAATTATTTTTTTTATTTTTTTTTACTTTTTTTACTTTTTATACTTTTTATACTTTTTATAGTTTTTATACTTTTTATACTTTTTTTACTTTTCTAAAAAGTTATATAAACCTTCTTTTTTTTCTTTGCCTCAAATTAGATTTAATCTCTTCTAATCTTCTATTATTTTAAAGATTTAGTTTTCTCTAATCTTTTCTTAAATAATAGTGAAATAGTTCTATATTAATATTATTATATCCTAAATAAATATAATCTTTGCTCTTATAATAATTTTGCATAATAAACTACTACAGTAATGTAATATTTCACTTAAACACTATTAGAAATCTTTTTTCTGTATCTTATATTACTTGTGTTATATTAAGAAAGCTATACTACTTATAATATTTTAGTACTTTTTAGTAGAAATATTTAAAAATAATATCTATAAAACCTCTTTTTTACCTAAAGAAGCTTTTTTTCTTTCTTTTGCTGATCTCTAAAATCAAAGAAACTTCTCTTTTTTTCTTTAATGATTTTAACTTATGTTATATAAATTTTAAAAAAATTTCATAATATTCTAGAAATAATCTATGTTATAAAAAATAAAATAAAATCTTTCAACTCTAGAAATTTCAAGTTAATATAATATAACTTTTACAAATTATATTGAGACTCTAAAAAAATTATACTTATGACTATTTGAAAAATCTAGGTTTCTAGAAACTTTACAATTAATTTTTTTTTAACTTAGGTGATCTTACTCTTAGTTTATTAATAGAAGACTTTATAAAAAAATCATAATACAAAAATAAGAAAAAAGACACAAATCACTAACTCTTTCTATAGATTACTTGTACCAAAACTTTCTAAAAACATTTGTTTATAACTAAATATTTTACTAAGTAAACCCTTCTTAGGCCACTAAACAAAATTGTTTTACACAAGATTCTGCTTTAGTAGAGTCTAATTTTATATCTTTCAGACTTAAACTTGCAAAGATATTTACTTAAATAGTTAATATAACAATTTTATTATTATCTTCGAATTTTACTAAGACAACAACTCTTGGCCACTAAAAGAGTTTTGTCTAGCTCACTCTTAGCTTCATATACATATATATTTTATTAAAAACAGATAAAAACTCACTAAATTATCAAAGAAAACTCATTTAAAGTTTTTTTTAAAAAATTTCAAAAAAATAAAATTCTTTTCTGTTTCACTCCTCAAACCTGAATTTAAATTATATGACAAATCAACCAAAATTCATTGGTTCATTCCAAAATAGCACTAATTATTAAAATTTCTCTTTTAAATTCATTTTAATTAAACACAAATTAATTACTTACATATTTGTACTAATTCTAAT